GGGGGGGGGGGGGGAGGACTGTTGCACAGACCAATTGGACACAAATGACTTTTTACTGCAAATCCTGAGCACTTTTAATAGATAGAATAGAATGAAGTACGAGCGATATCTTATTATAGTATACAGAGTGAATCACGAATCGTGATCAGTAGAGATTACTTTGTTATTAGCAGCCTGATTGAAAATGTTTTTATCAGCGTTTGCATGGTTTCAAGAGAGCTTTAACGTGGTAGTGAAAAATTACTGGTCAACTCTTTTTTTAATGTTTTTTGAAGGTTACCTTGAATTTTTGTAACTGAACATATAATTTTTTTACGCCTGTCTGTTAGAGGATTTCAAGACGAATTCGGGATATGTAAGGACATGACAGTTTTTTCATCTGGTTTATAAGAAAATTAAAAAACTTTGTATCACAAGGAGAATCACAGCTACGCCGTTATTACGCATCCTATGTTGTTGACAAGTCAAAATTATTTACCGATCTTACTCCATTAGATTACTTTTTATGGGGTACATTAAAAGACGAAGTTTATGCAGATGCTTTAACAATACCGGAAGTTATGCGACGAAGGATTGCGGATGCATACTCAACCATCAGTGTAGAGGCCATAAAGAATGCAAAACAATCTTTTGTTCACCGTCTACGCGAGTGCATTGCAGCTCGTGGACACCATTTTGAACATCGCTACAATTAAGATTGGTAAATTTTGACTTGTCAACAACATTGGTTGCGTAATAACAGCGTAGCTGTGATTCTCCTTGTGATACAAAGTTTCTTAATTTTCTTTCGAACCAGATGAAAAAAATGTCATGTCTTTACATGTGCCGATTTCGTCTTGAAATCCTCTAACAGACAGGCGTAAAAAAATTATATGTTCAGTTGCAAAAATTCAAGGTAACCTTGAAAAAACATTTAAAAAAAGAGTTGACCAGTAATTTTTCACTATCACGTAGAAGCACTCTTGAAACCATGCGAAAGCTGATACAAACATTTTCGATCGGACTGCTAATAACAAAGTAATCTCTACTGATCACGATTCGTGATTCACCCTGTATTCTATGTGGTTTAACGTCAGTTTATGCTAGGTTTGGTTAGGTAAGGTTAGAATAGGGTGGAATGTTCAAATTTCGGAGACTGGGTAGGTTAGTGGATAAGTATATCGTCGACGAGTGAGCGAAGCGAGCGAGTCCGACTGAAGAGAGCATTAAATGTTTGAAAATTATTGATGGAATATCGCTCAGGAGACGGAAATTCGCATTTGTGTCCAATTGGGTTTGTGCGCAACTGGGCATCACCTTAGTTTGACAAAGACACTGGAGGGCTGAATGCGCAGGTGCCGGAGTATTGATTTCGCTAGGCCGAGTGCTGATCATACGGACCACGCGATTATACAACAATTGAGCCGGTAAAGTAGGCATCGCCTAACACGTACGACATCTCTATTTCGTCAATCAAGGTGCGGGGAAGTTAGTCCTCGAGGAATTTCGTCTATCTCGTAATTTGTCTATATCTTTTGTGAAAATTGGAATTATTTAGAACCACTATGAAACTGAAACCTATTGAAAATTGGATCATATTGAAGCCGTTGGAAATATTGATGCTGGAAACGACTAAGAATCGATATTGTGGAATTTGGAATATTGTAATCGACATCCGTTGATATCATGCAAGTAAGTTCAATTAATAAATTTATATTCTTCGTTCGAATACTGTGTCTTTGGCTTCGCAATTTCTTTTCCTTGGGTCATCCAATCGCCCACCTTGCGATTGTCTCATAACTTAGCTAGTTAATTATTATTAGTTGAAGAAAAGAACTAACTGGTGTCCAACATATCGTATAATTTATTACTTTAGAGTCCTGACAGCCACCGACCCGAGCTGCGCCAGGTGAATATCTTTTTCAAGGTTTATCTAAACTCGGTTCCACGAGAGACCGACACAGCGTCGCGCAGGTTCGGGCGGAGTAGGGGTCAAGTGGGGATAGCCAAGGTATCGTACTTAGTATTTTACCTATAATATCGTACATTTGTGCTCTACGCAAAAAGTCCACGCTCTGTAAAAAAAGTAATAGGCGAAATAATATGAACATCGCGGTCTCATTATACAGTAACGTCCAATTGAAGTGCAACACTTGAATTTTTTTACATTTTTGTGAAAGTATGACAGATTTCGAAAAACCAAAAACATATTGTTTAGGAAATTCCCTTCCCGTTCGAATGGTAAAGGTTTTATCCCGATCGGATACAAAATGGCCGAATGGCAGGGGTTGGAGTAAAAAAGTGCATTTTGGAACTTTTTGAAGAATTCGAGATCTAGTAGTTCCGAAAGGAAATTCATATTTCTAGTTATGGTACGAGAGAGAGCATCCTTCAGCATTCAAAAAACACCCTATTGAACCCTTGTAGGATCACTCTAGGGGGAGCTACACCCTCTTGAAGTGAAAACAGTTAATTGGCCATAACTTCCGAACGTGCTGGCCAATGTGGTCCAGTTTCTGTGTGATATCATCTTTAATGATACTGCAGATTTTCACAAAATTATTGTTCTTGGAGATGATCTCGTGACGGAGATCTCGAGATTTCGCAAGCGCACCCGAAGCTTCCCCGCCATTTTTCATTAGGAAACCGATGAAATAGAAGTTTCATATTTATCCACGTTGTAGCTGAGATTTCAATGATTAAAACGCGCTTTTAAACATCCAAATATGAGTTTGCTAAGGGGTTAAATTATCCGTTTGGAAAAACGCCTAAATTTTATGAGTTTCGCTCGAGGCGCTCGGGGGACTACTACCCTACCACGCGCGCCAACCAATTTTCCCTGACCAATTCTCGTCACATAGCATTAGTGCGACAAAAACAGATGCGACAGTGCGACAATGACGGGGTGTCTAGGAATAGCGTCCAGCATATTGACGTCTTGTGGATAGGTGCAACATAATGTCGAGGAATAGGTTTCAGCTTGTGGACGCAGTGCAATGTGGTAAGACAGGAGACTGGGGTGTGACCGTCGTCTTACCTGAATACATGCGTGCAACACAGCGAGAGCTATTGTGCGACCGAGAAGTCAAAGCATCCTGCGTTGCGTCCTTTTCGCGCAGCATGAGTCGGTGAGAGTCGCGCGGCTCCTTCTCCCTCTTTATCGGGTATTAGCTGTCCTCGTTATGGAGCGTCAGTCTGAGAGAGAGAGAGAGAGAGAGAGAGAGAGAGAGAGAGAGAGAGAGTTTTTGAGACACCCGTTAGAGACCTCAGTATTTGGGGGGGATGGAAGTAGCCGAGAGAGAGAGAGAGACGGGGAGATTAGGACGATGAGGAGAGAAGAAGAGAAAGGTGGGTCCAAAAGAGAGAGAGGGAGAATAGGCGGGAGAGGGGAGGCGAGTGGGACAGTAAGAGGAAGCAAAGAAAGAGACGAAACTGGACGAGTGTCTCCCGGCGTGAATTTCGTCAACGTCCTCGGTCCTCGGAATGGTAAAGGAAACACGCGAGAGCTCGACACCGCGTCAGAACACGAGCAGTTCCCCACCCAGCTCCCTATTCAGCATGATGGGGCCTTCTTGTCGTCTCGGTTACACTCGTGCTGGGCAACAAGGACGCACCGAGCGACACTCTGGCGTCTCGCTCGCACCGAAGTGCTTTTTGCCTTGCACGCACAAGCCAAGATACGTGAGCAGGCGCTGCCCAATGTCCTCTCTTTCCTCACCACACTGCGTCCACCGCTGCCACCATTATTGAGGTCCAGTGTACACACTGGGAAGTGCAGAGACCAATGCGTGTAGGAAATGTGGAGAGGACGAGGAAACGCCCGTTCACATAATATGCCAGTGCCCGGCCTTGGCCGGGAGGAGAGGTAGGCACCTAGGGGCCCCTCTATTGGAACATAGGGATATATCGCCCTCCCTCTAACGGCGTTGCTGACCTTCGTCAGGAGTAGCGGGCTGGTGTAAGGAGGAAGGAGAGGTAAAAAAAGAGGGGTGCATAATGGGCCTCGGGCCTAAGTGCGGGTTGCAGCAATGCCCTCTGACTTATTATTATTACATTATCGTAGCGTTCTAAAGTTCCAAAACTCGTAACACCCGAGGAAGGATAAAGACATTAGGACGAGTCTCACTTAGCATGATTTGTATTTTCTAATTTGAGCAGAACCTGATTTCATGTGTTCCTAGATTGATAATTGCATAAAATCTAGTTTAGTTTGTCAATTTTGTAGCTTCAACACTTTACAACACCTAGACCTTTGAGAGTCCGTTTAGTCAGGGTTATTAATTAGAAACGACGTTCCTCTATTAGACTTTCCGTATGATGGGTTTTTTATTAAGTAAATCATCCACTATCTTCCACCTCTAATCTATCTTTATATTTATTTCCTCTGCACTGACGACCGTAATCGCCAGTGAACTATCCTTGATTTCGTCGCACGGGTCAAATACCGACTGTAGGTAGCGATAATATCTTTACCGACCACCGAGCGTAGGACTTACTCTAATATCTGTTTC